ACGTGATAGAATATTTCACATATTTAAAAATATAATGAATGAAAAAAATGCAAATGTTTAAAAATTGCGTAACTTTTTTAGTTTAGAAATAATAACTTAAAAAATAATTCTTTTTTTCGGAAATTTTTTCTTTAAAAAAAAAAGAAAGAAAGAAAGAAAGGAACATACAGTAAGTTTTAATACTTCCTCAGCATTTTGTTTTAAATGAATTTCATCTGTATAAGTTATTTCACGATGCTTTTCTGGTATTTCATTTTCTTCTATTTCGATCTTTTCTACATTTGATAGTATTGCTACTGGTACCGAAAACTAAAAAATTTTTTTTTTTCATTATTTTTGATTTTATTTTTTCTTTCTTATTTCTTTCATTCTTCCCGAGAAGGATTGAAATTTTATGGGGATAATTGCTTCATCGTGAAATTTAAATATTGTTAATGAAAATGATAATTGTAACGATAAGAAATTCAATATAGGCCAATATAGGTAAATCTATTGAAAAATAGACATTTAAATAATTGTATTAGTTCGCTTTAATGATAACTCTTTAAGATAATCGATTACTAAAATTGAAATTGCAAAATTAATGGAAAAAATTTGAAAAAATTTTGCAAAATTAACATTTTTAAATTATTACTTCGTCATTTAAATTTAGTTTTATATTAAAGAGAATGAAATTAGCATATTTGCATTAATGCATAAATTTCGAAATCTTACAACTATACTAATTATATTTCAAACCATTAAACCTATATACATTTACAAACAATTCGAATCATTTAATTTCATGAAATTATTACGTAAGAAAAAAAAGAACAGATTAATTAGACTAATTTAAGTAAAACTCTTTTTTTTCTCAAAAAATTTTTAAATTATACCGCGTCATCAAATATTTCGTCGCATATTTCGTCAATTTCAATATCATCGTCTTCGTGCATTGATGCAACTACTAGTGGTGGAATTGAAATTGATGAAATCTAGAAAAAAAAAAAAAAATTTCAAAATGCAAATTAGAAAATTAGAGTGTAAATTTTTAAAAAGGAACTTAAAAACATTTAAATTATAAAAAAAACACAAGAAACTAAATAATTTGAATAATCTGAATAATTTATTTGTTTATTTTTGGAAAAATATATAATGAAAGTATATAATTTTATTATCAACCTTTAGAATATTTTTTTATTTTTTATTTTTTATTTTTTGTAAATTTTATACATCGTGTATTGATATATTCCCTTTAACTTCCTTCTTTTTTTTTAAATCGTTTTCAAATTTTGATATAATTTTAAATTTTATTGAAATTCTATTATCGTATCCATACACTATCAATTGCAGATTCCAATGGTTCGGTAGAAATATTGTCAATGGTATACAAATCTTCTGATGTTTCATCATCTTCTGTATACTCATCATCATCTTCATCATTTGTGTACATTTCCTCTTCATCATACTGTAAGCGATACTGTAGAAATTGTATTCAACCAAAAACATATAATTATATTATACACTACAATTCTGTTTAAATTAATTTTCAAAAATTTTATTAAATTCTAGAATATTTTAGCAAAAAAAGGAAAAACTTTTAAAAAACTCGTAGAAAAGAGAATAATTTGAATTAATCAAACCTCCGAATCATCATAACATTCGCTGGAAGATTCCTCATCATCGTCACATTTTAATGCTGCTTTTTGGACAAGTTTAAGTGTACAACCAACATTAACACTATCCTGATACTGTATACCATCATACTGTAAATAATAAAATCTGAATTTTTTTTTACCCCACAAAAATTTTCATTTTTTTATTTTACTCTAAAATTTTACATTTAAATTATACATATGTTTACTTACGTCATCGGTTGGAGATGAAATAGGACTGAAATAAATTCCAATGCTTGATGATGATGGACAATATTCATCATTTTCCAAACAACTTCTATTTCTTGTATATTGTTCTAAAGTTTATAGGAAATACATTTAAATATTCTTAAACAATTAAAAATTTAAATTGAAATTTAAATCTAACTTTAACTAGTCTAATCAAAGTTATAAAATTGATGAAAAGCTAAAATAAATCAATTATTGAAATCAATTACTATTCATTTATTTATGCAAATATTTTCAAATTTTATATTTATTTTATTATTAATCAAATGCATGTCAAATTTTCCTTTCAAAAAAAATTTATTCCTTTCAATTTTTAAAATTTTTTCAAAATATTGTAAAAATTAATTAACCATCAGAATGAAAATCATCAATATCTTCATAATCTGATAATAATTCCACCGATTCTTCTTGTGTTGAATCCCAATCATCCATATCATCATAGCTAATTGATGCTGCAAATATTGGTGCTGGTATTGCCATAATTTCCGATACACGTCCTCGATTATCATTATTTCTGCAGAAAAAAAAGAAAAAAACTAATTAATTAATTAATTAAGAATACAAATTAGAAAGTTTGATACTTTTAGTGGTTTTTTTTCCCTTAAAAATTCTTTTCAACTTTTGTTCCATATATCAAATTAATAATATCTGCAAAAAAAAAAAAAAAATAAAT